GTGTGTGTGAGAGAGAGAGAGAGAGAGAGAGAGAGAGAGAGAGAGAGAGAGAGAGAGAGAGAGTTTTCCTGCCATGCACGCAAAGAGATAGAGAGAGGCTACTTCCATCGATAGGATGAGCAAAATCGGAATGAATCTTCCATTAGAATATGGAAATATCTAACGTCACACTCATCCCCATCCAGCCCACATAATTCCCCTCCCCGGTAACGACACAGGATTCCCCCAGTTGTCACCCAGCTCCCCCACATTAAAAGCACACCTAGCAAAACTCAGTCGGAAGTCCAATATCAGTGCCACACAGCAAAGATGCAGGGTATGGGAATTGAAACACAGAACTGGCTCGCCGAGCAAACAAGGTCAACGCTTGTCCAAACCACTAAGCTCTTAGATCAAGGAGGAAACCACAAAGAAAAGGTTGTGATCTATGAGTGTCCAAAAGAACTGACAACCAAGTCAAACGAACTGCACAAAAAGCACGCAGTGCTTTTCACCTTCGCTAAAAAAAGCCAAGTGCTGGACAGGCAAGCAAAACTGAAGTGGATATGGGGAAATTTGAAAAGTTTGGAGCCAATTCAAGGAACCGATCCCAAAGTTTCATTCCACCCAAGATCAAGGAACGTCATCATGGTCCTGTGCATGGACGAAGCACTCGCAGCTTTCCTAACAAACAAATGCTTCACCTGCAACTCCTCAGTGGTCACAGTGCACCCATGGAAACAAGCCACAGCCTATCAACAAACCCCCTTCAAATACAGACAAGACCTGATCAAAAAGCACTTATGGATCCAATTTGACAATGTACCTGAGGGAATGCACGGCAGCATCAAAGAAAGAGTGAAGATGGAATATGGACTCTTCAAAGAAATGTGCTGGATAGTATCAACGCCCGACTTCCTCACTCCGCAGCACAACCAAATGACAGTGGTGTTGAACACCCGGGACAGCCCAATGCCATACACCCCCGAGGAATGGTTCTTCTTGCGAGACAACAAAGTCATCAGAATCTCAGTGTCCAGTAAGTCTAACCCATTGTGTTTCAAATGCAGGCAAAGGGGACACTTGGGCACAGACGTCACCTAACCGAAAGCAAGGGAAAACACAAAACCCAAACCACTCAAAACGGCAAGCCTGCAGGAAGTCGCAGACAAAAAAGGGTACTGGTACGTCCCAGGCGTGCAGTATGCAGGCTGGGTTTTCAACGACAACCTAGACACACCGGACTTGGTCTGGACCCTAGACAGCGATCCAACCCCTAGACCGGACGTGTACCCGCCCTTTGACAGCAAGTGGCAGACCCTGAAAGTGGAAAAGAAAACACTCAAGAATTTCACCAGAGATCAGACCATAAACGTGGAAATGTTGAAACAAGAGATTTGGGAAAGAGATTTATGTGCAGACCTACAATCAGTGCAAGAAAGAACAGA